ATTTTAGGCCAAATGTGTGCCAACTGACAGTATGACGTACGTGACGGTATGCCGTACATAGGCTATAGATCTAGAATCTAGATCTCGATTTAGATCTACCCTATCCATCACTCAGCGCGCCCTGGCCCTGGACTTAGGTCTTAGTCTTAAGTTACAAGTTTGAAGTTACAGGCTACCGCGGAGTAGTGCCGGAGGAGTAGTGGTAGTCTGCTAGCTAAGCCTTGCCTTAGGTTCAAAGAGGCCTAATTCTTACCTGCTCCTGATCATCCGCCATATTTTGACACCGGACTGGATAGAATTCACTAGATCTAGATTCTAGATCGAAGCCGATGCCAGACAGGAATGATGAGACGGACAAAACCAACTTTCGCTTTCACAACACTGTAGGTGTGTCCTGGGTACTGTGTTGATGGCGTGCTTGGCTTTCCGACAAAACTGACCAGGTACAGCGTTCAATTCAGGAGCGATGCCAAGGAGTTTAGACAAAGAAAATAGGCAAAGGGTTGAAGGAGAAAAATACAATGCATTTTTATTGTGTTTGTAGTTGAGCTTCTAAATCATTCATTAACTATGGTCACTCTTCCTTTTTATTTATTTTTTCCTTGGGGGAGGTGGGGGGGGGGGGTCTTTCACTAAATCGTGTCCATCTTGGCATATTATTTACCATAAGTTAGTTTAAAAATATTGGCATATTTGGTTGGCGAATCAATTACAATTTTTATGAAAGAGACCCAGAAACCCCAAATCTTCCAGAAAACCAATTTTCGGTTTCTGGGTGCTTTTCGCAACATAATTTTTTTATTGGGCGGCACTGCACATCTGTGTTCAATGGGCGAACTGTGCCTGCCGCTACTACAAGAAAACATGGGTATAACGTACTCAGCAACGTGCGGCACCGCACGCCTGATAAAAAAAAAAACTGATAGGAGCCCTCTCTCGCAGCGGAACTATCATGGTCTATCTAGTTGCGCTGCCCTCACGCACTGAAATAGACTAGATCTAGATCTAGATCTAGATCTAGATTAGATCTAGAAAAGAAAAGGTTTAATTCCGAGATTAGGCAAGTCAATTTTAGTAAAAAGGCCTTCGTCATGTGTTGTGTTCAAGCGTAAGAATCAATATGATGTTGCAGTAGACAGAAGTTTTCACAGGTGTTTTCTTTTTTTTTAATACATTGTATGAATGAAAGTGTTTTTATGCCCCCAGCGACACAATATTTAGGCTAGATCATTAACATTTATAAAAGGCTGGCTCCGCGCTACCTGCCAAGGCCAACCCGGCTGAAAGGGATACACTATAATAACACCCCAGAAGAAAGACCATTAAGATACTTGATTTTTTTTTAAAGTCTTATTCTTCTGTGTATGTGCGCGCGCGCGCGTGTGTGTGCGTGCGCGCGCGCGTGTGTATGTGTGTGTGTGTTTGTGCGTGTGTGTGTGTATGTTTATATATATATAT